TTCTTCACAGAATCAGAATGACCTATTCTAAAATTCATATGAAACCAAAAAGAGTCAGTTAAAGCAATCCTAAGCAAAACGACAAATCTGGAAGCATCAAACTACCTGCCTTCAACCTATACTTAAGGCTACCATAACCAAAACAGCATGGTATTGCTACAAATATGAACCTGTGAACCAATTGAACAGAATAGAGAGCCCAGAAACAAAGTTACACATCTATAACCACCTGGTCTTCAACAAAGCTGACACACTACCCAACCTCAAATATACTAAAGGGCCACAGTAACCAAAAAAGTATGATAGTGGTACAAAAACAGACATATATACCAATAAAATAGGTTAGAGAACTCAGAAATAAAGCCATACACCTATAACCATCTGATCTTTGACAAAGTAGAGTTCTTAAAACTGAAAAAAAGCTGCTAATCAAATGTGCAAAACTCAATGGTATAAGTAAAATTGAGCCATTTAAGAATGTCCTAGTACTATAATAATGTTGTGTAAGGCAAGCTTATTTATAGTACACAGATTAAAAGATAAAACTATTGGTAATAAATATAGCTAAAATAAATTGTAAAGGAATACAAATTATGATATAATGTAATTATGAAATAAAAACAAAGTATGTGGGAGAAATATTAGTTACTTTTAATATAAATGGATTAAATTATCTAATAAAAAGACATAGAGTGATTAAATGAATAAGAAAATAACTAGAAAAGAAAAAACTAAGCCAAAATATAGCTGAATATAGGAGATAATAAAGATCAAAGAATAAAGAGAAACAATAAAAATAATACAAAACATTAAAAAAGAAAAACTTATTTTTTTGAAAAAGATAAGTAAATAATTTAAGCCTTCTCTCTTTTTTTTAGTTTATCTAAAGGTTTGTAAATTTTGTTTCAGTCAGAAATGAATACGGACATATTACAACTGAATTGGAAGACACAGAAGAAATAAATTTCTCGACCCATACAACCTACTAAAACTGAATCTTGAAGAAATAGCAAATTTGAACCAACCAATAAACAGCAAAGATTTTGATTAAGTAATGAAAAGTCATCCATCAAAGAAGAGTCCACGACCTAATAATTTTATGGCTGAATTTTGCCAACCATTGAAAAAAAACTCATACCAGTTTTTTTTTCAACATCTCAAACAATTGAAAAGGAGGGAATATTTCCAAATTATTTTAAAGAGGGCAGCACAGTAGATAGCCTCCAACTTATGAACGTTTGATTTACAATTTTTTGACTTTATAATGGTGTGAGAACAGTGGACATTCAATAGAAATTATCTCATTTTAAACTGTAAGGAGCTCTTCAACTTACATTTGAGTTATGTCTTGATAAACTCATCATAAAACTGAAAAATTAGACATTGAAGACTGTCTGGACATTACTAGGAGAGTAAATTCCTATGTTCTCACCACAAATAATATTAAGGCTTTGAGATTATGGATATAACTAGCTTGATTTAATGATTTTATATTATATTCATAAATCATAACACTTATATTCCATATATTTATAAAATTCTAAAGCATCTATTATATATGTGTAAGTGAAAAAAAAATCAAAGAGCCAATGATCCAAGATCATCTGGCACTTAAGAGGAGATGGAAGCAAAGTAATTATAGAACAGGCCTTATGCAAAACTAACGAGAGCACACATTAGGGTGATGGAATTTAGTTGAAAGTGTGGTGAGATAAAAAGGTTGAAGAATTCCCCTCTTATGATTTCCAATTACATATGGAAAGTAAGGGAGTGTTTAGCAACAGAATGAAGGGAGGTAGGAGGGAAAATAGTTGTCCTAATAACAATCCTTAGTTCAAGTATATTGCAATGTGATGACTATATTGCTGAATTTCCTATGATTTTAAGATTGTATCAATATTGCTATGCACACTGGATTCCTTGTGTTTGAAAAATATTATAAAATGTGAGAGTACTGCAAACCAGTATCTATTCCAAACAAAATCTATCAAAAAGGGAAACACACATATAAAATAATAGCTATAAAATAGGTTAGCTGAGAATGATTTAATATCAGGCACTAATTGTGCAATTAAGACAATAAATGCAAAATAATCCTAAGAGAAGAGTTTATAGAGCACTGATATGAGTGTTAGCATAAAATGATGCAATGTTATGTCATGGTTGAGAATGACACTTCCGGAGTAATACTACTAGGGTATTGCTTATTCTTTCTACTATTTATAGAATCTTGAGAAAGTTGCTTAATCTTTCTGAAAACTTGCAAATTTTAGAATAATAGGATGCTTTCACAAAGTTGTCAAGAGGATTAATAAGTAAATCCATGCAAAGTACAGTGCAGAAAACAGCATCTGGTATCTAGTAAAAACTCTATAAACATCACTATTATTATAAAGTGATCTAATTTAGTTGAATTTTGAAGAATGGGCAGAGAGGTCTGTACATTGGAAAGACTTTGGCTACAAGTAACAGACCACTAAACACAAATCTTTTAAACAAAAAGGGACTGTTTTGGTAATGGGAAGTCCAGAGGTAGGGAAGACTTCGGGGTTGATTCAGTTTAAGAACTCCATCTCCTTTTTCTGCAGTTTATTTTAACTTCCATTAAGTCTGTTTGGTTCCTTTTTAAGCAAAATGGTTGCAACAATTCTGAAACTCCATCTCTGCACAAAAGTAAGTGAAGAAAAAAAGGTCATCTCATCACGTGGCTTTCTCACATAAAGAAGAAAACATCCCAGGATACTCTTAAATGTCTTAAACTAGGATTAGGTCCAGAACATTTACCATAATTGAAAAATATTATGCCCTACTTGGCTTCAACCTGGCTGCTGAAGTACAGAGTCTGTCTCTTAGAGTTCACCCCTGATGTTGGTATCCATATCGTAATATGGTAACTTTGCAACAATGAGATAGAGGTTAAATGGGTATTGGTGAGATTATCATACAATCCGTCAATGGGGAGGTACTTCAGGCCTAAGTAAAATATGCAGTTAGGTTTGCTAATGACTTGTCTAAGGTCAAAGTTGTGGGCTTGATTGATGCCATGGATTTTAGGGAAGGATAAAGGAATGACATGTGGATAGTTCAGTCAGATACTTTTTCAGTCCTGGGAGAACGCTGAAAGTAGCCCAAGAAGAAGAGCCTAAATTCAGTACAGAAAGGGAAAAACGTAAACACCGTCTTCAATATGATGAACTCCAGTTTATCTTCTTATTCTCTTTGGTCTGTAACCAAAAGAACATTACATTTAACATAGTCTACATTAACTTTAGTCATTCTGGAGCCAAGTGAATATAAGAGAACTGCTCCAATAAATTCATCTCACTAGTTTGCATTTTTTTTTAAACTAAACATCAGCCTGAAAGACCTGACGTTTTTCTTAAGAGTTTGAACATACTGGGAAAAAGATTCTGTAGTACATTCAGAGGAAACTGGTTTTTATGAATAAATTATAAAATGTATCACCATATGATTATTGAAATAATCTTTAAGATAAAGAGTCATCTTATAGAGAACTTTAGGTGTTATATCCCCTTCTGACAGCTCAGTTTTGCATTGGACATAATTTACATGACTCTCTTAATACCCTTAATGATTTTTAAGGAAAAAGTGAGCTAAACTCAGTCTCAACCTCTCAGTGGGACTGACAGTCACCATTTATACTGAAGTTAATATCACTGAAAATAGTAGAAGATGTCAATAACTTTTTTCTATTCATAAATCTTCATCATTACAAAACATGTTATTTGTATATATCAAGTTTTTTTAGCATGTAATCTTTCACAATGTCCTATCTCACAGTATTGATGAAAGATTTTTATAGCAAATATTTTGACACAAGATTAATTCAACATCTCAAATATTATAAAATGTTCTGGCATTTGTATAGTGACTTTTTAGTTTATTTGTTGCATCATGTATCATGTTTTTTCTGCTGATTATCCAAGTGATAACTTGTGCCAATTAAAAAATATAAAAACAGTCACCAATCTTGCATCCTCTTATCTGATCCATATGCAAGGCAAAAGGATTAAGTAGTCATAATGTCAAGGAAAACACGCAAACCATTTATTCTTTGAGACAGTATGTCTTCCAGGGAATCTAGCACTTTTAAAATCAGCAGAAAAGAAATTTTAAGTGGAAACATAGCATCCTTATTCTGCCTTTTATCATGCTTCAGGGTCCATGGCTTTTGTGACCTAGGAGTTGCATGCAATAGCAAACCAAGCAAAATCATTCTGAAGACAAAATATCAACTGACATCAAAATTATACTTAACATTAGCCAGAAAATAGAAGAAATCAGTTTGGGTTGTTTAAAAAAATGAACTGTTAAGTCTCATTGGATCTGAATAAATACTGTTTTATGGGATGGCCAAATGACTTCTCAACCATTTCTACCAACATTGTGAAAAAGTGCGTTCCTTAGATTTCAATATTATATGTTCTTTTAAAATTCAGAATCAATTTTTAATCCATCTACACTTGGAAATCATCTTTAGCAAGTCTGGCTGAATAACAAGAAAATTGTCATTCACAAAGCACTCTTTTTTTAAAAAAGGAAATATAAAATATATAAAAGAAAGACAAAATATATCTAAGTATTGTACTCTAATATTTAAACTACCTTCTGTCTTTTTGAGTTGCTATGAGTGATTAACAGAAAAAATCAGGCATCTTTCATATATAAAATATATACTTTGATTCTTACATCACATTTTTCCTTATTTCTTAGTGATTTTTCCTTAGTAATTTTTAGAAGTGATGAATATTCAGCTTATATATTTATAAATGAATTATTCATTGATATCAGTTTTTATGCTATTATAAGCAAAAAAATGCAATAACATGAAAATAAAATTCATAGATTACTAGGGAAATGTGGGTTAATAATTCTGTTCTGGAATCTAGGAATAATTTTCTATGTATAACATTAAATTCTTTTTTTGAAGATTTATGATCAATAGTTGAGCATGGTTTATCTACTTAACGGTTTTACAGACACTGATCCAGAAAGACTGCCTCAACTGCTAGAACTAATCAACTTGAAATTATATTAGATGAGCTCAACCACAATTTAAGGTGAGGATTTCCATAATGATTCTGCAGCTATGAATGTGAGTGGAGTACTATGATGTTATCCGAAAAGATTCACAGTTCAGATGTTTGACTCATATAAAAGGGGTTGATAAATTTTTAGTTCTCTATGATCAATTGTGTAATAGTAATTGCCATAGAAACCTGAAGAAAATTTCAGTAAATTGATGAGATGCCTAAAACACAATCTATATGCCATTTATGTTGATATAATTTTTATGACAAAATTAAGAAGAATCCTTTGAGATAATTAAGAATAAGAAGGACTTTACATCTTTTAATTGAATTATTAAGACAGTTATAGATTCACACAGAAAGATGCATACAGCTGACATAACCATGATGTTGGCATTGATACAATCCACTGATCCTATTCAGATTTCCCCAGCTTTGCTTGTATTCACTTGTATATGTATATATGTAGTCCTTTCTATACAATTTTATCATATTTGGATGTTTATTAATTCACTACCAAGTCAAGTTATGAACAATTCCAACACCAGGATTCCTCATATAGCATCACTAATGTATCCTTTACTTCTAAAATGTCATTTAAAAAATTTCATATAAATGGAATCTTGCAGCATATATCTTTGGAGAGTAACTGTTTTTCACTCTGTATAACTGTCTAGAATTTAATCTAAATTGTCACCTGTATCAAACTATCAGTAGATTCTCTTTATATTTCTTAGTAGTCTTATCTGGAATGTTTGTACCTGCTGAAGGACATCAAGGCTGTTTCCAGCTTTTGCTTATTACAAATTAAGCTGCTACGGGCATCTTTGTATATGTATTATGTAAACATAGTTTTTGTTTTCATCTGGGACAAACATCAGAGAGTACAGTTACTGAGTCTCATGGTAATTATGTGTTTAATTTTATAAGAAATCGCCAAATTTCCAGAGTGGCTGTACCATTTTAAATTCCCATCAAGAAAATGTGAATGAATCAGTTTTTCCTTATCCTTGCCAGCATTGTGTGGTATCACTATTTTTCTTTAATTACGCCATTTTAAAGGTATGTAATGATGTCATTGTGTTTTTTTAATGTACATATCCCTGGTGGTTAATGATGTCAATATATTTCTGTGAGTGTGCTTTTCATCTGTTTATCATTTTGGTGAAAGGTCTATTCAGTATTCTGTCAATTTTCCAAATAGGTTTTTTATATGTTGAATTCTGAGATTTCTTAAATACTAGTCTTTTTCCTAACATTTTCTCCCAAAGTGTAGCTTGTCTTTTTTTTCTTCTTCACGTGGGCTTTCATGGAGCAAAATATTTTTATTTTGTTGAAGTCAATTTATTAATGATATCAATTTATTAATATTTTGATTCATGGATTATTCCTTTGGTGTTTAGTCTAAGCACTCATGTTAGTTCATTTTAAACTAGCATTTCTTTTAAAAAGCTATTACTTAGACCATTGCTTTCTAGACCTTTGCATGGATAAAAAACATTTCTTGGAAGACTGACTTCTGGAATACACCTCTAGAAATTCTGATTTGGTGGGTCTGAGATTCTAGCTGAAGATAAGCATTGTAATAACCCCACAGGTGATATAATGCTGCTGGTCCTCAAGAAATATTTTGAGTATCCATTTCTTCGATTTCTAGTCATTCAGGTTTCATCAGAGACCAAGAATGGAAAAACTGTTAACAAGTATGATAATACAAAACAAGCAAAACATTCTTAACAGTTCTTAAAATATTTTATCTTTTAAAAAACTTATTATCCAAAGAAGACATTGTTTGGAAATCACTTTATTTGGTAAAGATTACTTAGAAAAAAACTGGTTGTATTTATATTATTGTATATTATTATCTTATCCCCTGATAGAATTGCCTTTGATTCCACAGAGGATTCACCTAAATTGCTATATGATTCACAACCACTGTTCTCCTGTAACTTAAAGCTTGCAAAAAACATTATCTTGATTTGCCTTCTTGCAATATGGAGCAAGGAGAATATCACCTAACATTTTGTAGTGCTTATTATATGTTCTCTGCTAGATGCTTTATAGCCTTTAGGTCAATGAATCCTCACAATTCTAAGTATTGGTTAGTGTGGAGAATACAGAGAGTCAGAATGGGCTAACAGGTGTCTTCAAGGCCACACATCTAATAAGGAATAAAACATGATTTATGCATGTGTGTTACTCTATTCTCCATGCTCTCTTTAATAGATTATGTTACACCACAGTATTTTTAATTTAAAAAAATCACGAGAGAAATTTAATGTTAACATTTTAAAAAATTCATAAAACAACTTTAGAATGAAAAGTATAATGATCTAATTGTATACCTTTCTACGATAGTGAGAAAATATATTCTTTTAAAAAAGTATTGATAAAGGTGAAAGAATGTAGTAGGTATAATTAATTCACATGTTACAACCGTCTACCTTCTTATAATGTCAATGTTGGATAATTCACACATTGTACCTTTCCCTTATTTGTGTTGCCATCAACACTAAGCACTGGATTTTTGCTGGTGCTTAGCTTTTGCTCTGATTTCATGGTGCTGTGTGAACACAATTTTTGGACTTTGGAATCTCAACAGAAATTTAGAATATCAGAAATAAATCTCACAAGAAAAAAATTTAGAAATATTTTAGTCTTGATATTTCAAGACTAAATTGCCTGAAAAGCTTTATTACCACCTTCTCTTTGAGAAATACCAATAGGTGTCCTTAAGAAGATTCTTATTATTGTAGGAAGGACAATGTTCTCAAACATTTTAATCAAAATTAAATTTTTAGAATAAACATAAATTTCAAATTACCCTTTCAGAATTCAAACTTATTATCATCATACTGGCAACACAGGATTTAGTTTTTATGACAAAGCTCTTTTCTAGAGGACATTAAATTCCACATGTTCTTTGATTCTTTGCATTATCTATAATCAAAAACAGTCCCTGTCCATCTTTGTTTAGCTTGTTGAATTAAAAATATAAATTTACAATTTTGAATATGAATAATAGTAGGTAAATTCTATACTAAATTATATAAAATGAAAGAGAAACAAAAATAACATTAAAATTTTCACAAAAAAACATTTTTAATTTCAATAGAAATACAACTTAATTTTCAATTAGTTGTGTTTCTATGATGAGAATAATTTCTAGGAAAATAATGCTATCTATAATATAGCTTCCTCAATTAAATTTACCAAGCAATTAACTGAAGCAAAATGTGTTTTAAATTTTCATGATTTACTACAGATAAAAAAAACCACTATTTTATTTTAATATACAGAACTAAAGAATAAATATTATTTTGTATTACTGATTTGTGATGAAGTGAAGATGCCTGTAAATCTCATGAATTCTTAACCTGGAAACCTCTGGAAAATACTCCACAGTATTCGGAACTCATTTTTAAGAAAGAATGTGGATTAAGGTTTTCATATTTTGTATGTGCCCCCTCCTCTTCCGCCAAGCACTGCACTCAGTCGGTGCTTAATGAAATATTCAACATTGCAGAGAAAAAGTTGGGCTAATATAATCTGGTAACTGGAGATCTTTTCCAGGTAAAGTTAAGGGGACAATGAAGACCATGACATGTTGAAAATATTTCAAGATGAATAAATTTTTCTCAGTAAAAAAATCAGATTATTGCTTCCAAAATGATAATCTCTTTCACAAAGATTTTTTTTTTAATCTTCCTTTGACACTCCCATTCCAAACTCAGTGGAAGTTGTATTTAAATGTTCTTACGAAATGTCCCTTGGTTTTCATCAAAATAAGTTTTTTTCTCATTAAAGTGAACTGTGGTATTCCAAAGAACTAATGGAGAGAAGGTGCCATTTTTATTCTCCACTAAATTCCTTTCCCAGTTTCTTAATTTGAAGCATTGGATCTGAATACATTTGGCAACAACTCACAAAACATGAAATTTGTTGGCTGAGAAGTAATGCTATCTATTCCAGCCTAACTACAAACAGAACAGTTCTTTGTGGGGCTGCTATGGAAAAGATATTTTGAGCAGCTGTAACAAAGATTGCAATAAAAATTCGAGGTCAAATTGTCTTTATTCCATATTAGAGAGCTCAGCATTTTTAATGCTCAGCACTGAGAAACAACACACCATAATAAGCTTTAGGTTTCCTGTTTGCAATTTCCCCCAGTGCCAATTACCATCAGTGCAGTGGTGCACTCAGTGGATTATTTTGGGGCTATTTTAAAGCCAGCCATTAAGAAACTTCTGAATTTCGACTTCTTTACCTAAACCATACTACTACTACCACTACTAATGACACATATTGCTTAATATTAAGAACAGCAGCACATATTTTTGAGCACCTGTTGTATGTCAGATACTGTGTGGAGCATATTGTATATTACATAACTTAAACCCATAAGTTAGTTTAGATTGATATCCCTATTTGAAAGATAGAGAACTTGTGGTTAAAAACAAAGTAAATTCATTTGTCATTAACCAAAATAGTCACACTGATAATATGCAACGTAGTTTATAGTGTAGTCTATGTGTTTTTGGTATTTGTTTTCTCTTTATATTTCCTTCTTACCTGTTTTGATGACCCCCTTCTCTGAACTTCTTTGGTATATATAGGCACACAACCTATGTAGATGCTTAATCATAAATTGTTCTTTTTTTCCCCTCATTCTTTGGGTAAAGAATAAAGCACACCCCACCCACCCCCCCACACACACATTCTCCTTCTCTTTCTCTCTCTCTCACAATTATTGGAGTATAGACTAATAATAATAGGAAGGCAAGGAAAAGCAGAAAACTATGTTTTATGGATCAAGAGTAAATATATCATATTTTTCATTATATTAAGCACTAGTAAAAATGTTATTTCTTTTGCTGTCCAGAACATCACCTTCCTCCTAAGCACCTTGATATCCTTTGGGGAAGTTGCCTTTACTTGGTTGGCATGCCTTCTTGATGGAGAGTGGTAAGAGCAACTAGATCTTATTCCTCCATGCCTTCAGAGGAGTCACAATACCTGGGGTGTTTGTA